GCCTTGTGTTGCTGAAATAAACTTTATGTGATCAGTGTACAATTCAACTTGATTTTATTTGGAAGTTTTGCATCTATATAGTCACAGGTGAGATTAGGCTCTGGCATTCTTTTTGGTACTTTATCAGGTTTAGGTACACTGTCTATAAAATGCAATATTTCCATCATTTTCCATGGTGTGAACTGTTTAATAAAGTGATTGCATATAATTTGGGGGCTGGATGATGGTTACAGGGAGGTCACACTTTGTAGTAATTCACTGAACTGTATACTTGTGATTTGTGCAATTAAAAGAACATAACTTAAAAGTGTAAATTTTTGATCAGTTTTCCAATTTTTCTATTTTTCTAAGAGAGATTTTTACTATAGGGTCCAGGTGCTTGCTGGAAAGAGAGAGAGACAGAGATATACAAAGCGAGAAATTACCCCCTTGGGGGATGGCCACGCCACAATCCCTTCTCCTCCATTCTCCCTTCAGGATTTTGTGCCTGATGTAAGTTAAGCCACCGAATCTGGGACTTGAACCACGGTCAACATGTGGGAGTCCAGCAAAGTAACCATTACGCCATCTGCTGTTCCCCAAATTTCTTCTTTGATAATCAACTGGTCTATTCAAACTATGCCTTTGGCCAGTGTTTGTGATTTTCCATTTGTTATCATGAAATTTTTAAAAAAATTATTTAATTTAATTTAATTAATTTATTTTAACTTGACCAGAGAGGGACAGAGTAAGAGAGAGAGAGAAAGAGAAGAAAAGAGAAAGTAAGCCGCCAGGTCCAGGTCTTGAACCACAATTGCCCATGTGGGAGTCCAGTGCCCTTAACCACCACATCACCTGTTGGCCCCACCATGGAGTTCTCTTAAAACTACTTCCAATGCATCCACATACACGATTATGTCTAATTTTTCATTCCTAACATTCCTATTATTATTATTATTATTATTGTGTATGTCTGTGTGTATATGTTGCCTCCCTTTATCAGGCTTGGGAGGGTTATGTATTTTATCAGTGCTTTCAAAGAACTGTCTTTTTTCTTTTTTTTTTTGGAGAGGTTTTTGCTATAGGGCATGTGTACTTGCCAAAAAGACAGAGAGAGACAGAGAGATAGAAAGTGAGAAATCACCCCCCCCAGGGGGATGGCCATGCCATGATCCCTTCTCCTCCATTCTCCTCTCAGGATCCTGGGCACACATGCACATATGCCAGGTGTGAATTTAAGCCACTGGGTCCAGGACTCAAACCACGGTCGACCACATGGAAGCCCAGCAACATAGCCATTATGCCAACAGCTGGTCCCCAAAGAACTGTCTTTAATGTATCCTTTTTCATCACTCCCTCTCCCCACTTTGCTAACTTTGGTTTTTCTCTCTACTGGTCTATTTTCTTATGGTTTAAGCATCTCCCCCACCAAGTTTCTAAAACAATCACTACACAAATTTTAGTTTTTTCCTTCTGAACAATAAAGCTATCTCCTTTCCTTTCCGATTCAGCCTCATGTATTTCAGGGTCCTCAATGAGTACTTGGGTCTTACCTTGTTCCATTTGCTCAGAACACCCATCCTGCCAGGTACAGCTGCCTGGCGACAAGCACATGATAAATGAAAGTGTGTTGAGCAAACAGGATACTGTTCTGTCCCAGGGCCCGATGTGAAGATCCGTGCTTGCTGCAAGGCCACCCATCCAAATATTCCTATTGTAGCAAGCAATGTGCCAGGTTTTATGAATAGAAGAGCAGGAAGAACATTTGTATTCTTGGAATTTACATTCTAGAGACCAAGAGAAACAACACAGTGAGCTGAGCATTGCCCGGGACATCATGGAAATATAAGGTAAGGGTCCACCCTCACCTAGGAGGTCTGGCAGAGGATCTTTGGAAAAGTGATAAAGCTGAGGGTCTATCCTGCCCCTACCCTCCCTCTCAGGAAGGTGGCCACTAGGTTTTCTTGTATAAGAGTTAACTGGTGGGACCAGCAGTTAGCGTAATGGCTATGTCACTGAACTCCCATGTAGCCAACCGCGGTTTGAGTCCTGGACCCAGTGGCTTAAACTCATGCCGAGCATGTGTGTGTGCATTTCCAAGATCCCAAGAGAAGAATGGAGGAGAAGGAATTGCAGCATGGCCATCCCCTCTGGGGGGTGATTTCTCGCTTTCTATCTCTCTATCTCTGTCTTTCTGGCGAGCGCACGCGTCCTGTAGCAAAAACATCTCCAAAAAAAAAAGGTTATCTGGTTTTGAGTTAGTTATATATGTGTTGCTCTAGGCCACAGTTGATTAAACCAAAGAATGCTGCACAGAACTGACTCTATCAGAGCCTCAGAGGGAAGTCTGAACACCAAACAGAGAAAGAAATGGACATGGAGGAGAGTAAGCAGCAGAAAAAGAATGGTAAAGTCCTAAGAAAGGCGGCCACAAATCCTATGGTATCTGATTGGAACTGTAAGTATCAATAGGAATTCATGGTTTTAAATAATATGTAGATAGTTCAAACAATAACACGTTCAGCTGCGTGTATGTGCACGTGTTAACATCCACACATACACTCATGGCTCTTGATGAGAGAGCCTAGAAGCAATGACATCCCAGCAGCAAGGTAGCCAACGAGTACACCTCGTGCCTGGGCATTTCTCAGCACCAAGTATTCTTGGAATTTACATTCTAGAGACCAAGAGAAACTAGGTCTCTTTTCTAAGTTCCTCGGAGAAATGACTATGTCAAGACTGTGACAGAGAAAATGTGAGTACGTCTGGAACATCTTATGGTGCCAGAAAGTATGAAAATTCATGGGGACAATGTTGAAACAACACAGTAGTCAACTTGAAATCAAGTTCCTAATGGCCAAATCTGGGCCAACTCGAGTAATAAAACAACTTACGTTCATATTCTTTTATAACCCACAGAATAACGAGCAACCATTAGTATACACTGACCTAAACTACTGAATAAATAAACAGAGGAAAAGGGACAGCTCTTCCTTATAGTAGAATGCTAATCAGTAAAAATAGAATAAGGAAACAAAGTCATCACTAGGCAGACACAGCACTGGCACCGGAAAGCAAGAACCACTGATGGATGCTGAAGTCAGTAGGCAAGATTCTAAGGATAAATAAGGCATTTACCAAGTTTTAAAGTATTTCCCTAGAAGGTTCTTAATGAGGGGGGCTGGCAGGTGGCCCAGTGGTTAAGGTGCTGGACTTCCACATGGTCGACTGTGGTTCAAGTCCCTGACCTGGTGGCTTGCTTCCTCACTTCCCCTTTCTCTCTCTCTAGTCAAATTAAAAATAAGTAATAATAAATAAAATAAATAATTCTTTAAAAAAATTTAAAGGAGGAAGTTCCTAATTTTACAATTCAGCACACGCTGCCTTAGCCACGTGATCACCAAGGTCATGCAAGAACAGTACATCATTTCTGCTGCTGGGCAGACCCTCGGCCTGATCATGTAAAACCTTCAGATAAACCCAAACAGAGGGACGGTCCACAAAATAAATGACCTGGACTCTTCAACAGTGTTGAGGTCATAAAAGACAAAGAAAGCTGGAGGAACTGCCATAGGCTGACGGAGATGAAGAAAACACGACAAAAAATGCAACATGGGACGCTGAACCAGAAGATCAGGAGGGAAAGTGGCAAAATTCAAGTGTCTGCAGATGAGTTGTAAAATGTAAATTTCCTGGTTTTGATGATTACTGCATGATTTTTACAGATGTTAATATTACCTGGGCGAAGGGCATATGGGAACTTTTTACTATTTTTGCTAAGTTCTGTAAGTCTAAAGTGATTTCAAAACAAAATGTACAATACAGCAACAAGGAAAACAGCAGTAGCCCCTGAGGTAGGGAGCAGCAGCCCCGGCTCCTGAGGTGAGACAGTGAGGTAGGAGCAGCTGCTGGAGCCCACGCTCTGCCTTCTGACAGCCTCGTACCACTGTGTCACGACATTCTTCCATTAGTCAAGGGACCTGCTTTGATTCCTGTCCCTATTCTATTTTCTGAAAGAGATTAGCTACCAAAACCTCGGGAGGATTCCCAAAGGGGAATGGGGCGGGTGGCTGGAGTGGTTACGAGTGGTGGCTACTGCGGGTGGTGCCCAAGGATGTGCTGGGCCTTGCTGTGCCCCGCTGAGCCAGGGCCGAAGCATGGCCGTTCTGTGGAATGCCCTTGGAAGGCGGTATCCAGACTCTGCTTAGTGACTAACATGCAGGTTGAACAAACTGTTTATCCCAGGCTAACTTAGCTGGGACGGCTGCACACACAGGGCAGAGGCAGACTGCAGGGGCACCTGGGCATGGCCTGGCCCCAATCTCTGCCCCACAGCTCCCCAGCGTCTGTCCTGTTAGTCTCCTGAAGCAGGCTGCTGCAGAGATGAGCTGGCTTGGTCATCTGGGACTACAGTTCTGTCCCAGAGTAGGGCAGGGTAATGAACCAATCAGAATGTTCCTGGGGTGTCCTATACTGGCCTAGTCCTCAGGCTGGAGAAACATGGTCTGGCCTGACCCAGAACACGAAATGGGAAGGGACAGTGGGTATGACATGGTAGTAGAAAGAGGAAACTTCTCTGGGTCACCTCCCCCTTGTATTCTAGGGTGTGGAAAAGAGGCAGCTAGAGACTAAGCTGCACAAAATCCTCACCTGGGCCCCTGCACCTTTCCTCTACTCCCGTGGGGATCTTCTGGGGTCTGAGCTGCATGAGGGCCAGCACAGGGTGGCAGTTCACAGCCTGGTCCCTCTTCTTCTAGTCAGGTTGGTTCTTAGCTGCCATACTTCTGAGTTTCCTGGGAACATGATGAAAGTTCCAGGGACTCTGGGGGACAGAGATCATGCTGAAGGACAGAAGTAAGGGACCTCCTTTCTCTTTGCCTTGAAGGGGGTGGAATGGCAACTGTTCTGGAGACCTATTAGCAGATTCTGGGCCCACATAAGAGGCTGGGATAGGACAATCCTACTTTAGGCTTTGGGATGAGGAAGGGTTTTCCAGGTCAGTGAGGAGGCCCAAGACTGGGTAAAGGGGAAGAGGCATGAGCTGAAGCTGGGTTGGTTGCCATGCCACAGCGAGGGGTCTTTATTGGATGTTGAGGGCACATGTAGGTGGACAGATAGGTGCTAGATGGTATAGCACACCTTCTCGGGGTGTAGTGGAGCCCGGATGTCCAGTTTGTGGGTCTTGCTGTCCTTATCGATGATCTCTAGCCGCAGCGTGGGGGAACGCTTCTCAGCCTGGGGTGAGGGCAGTTCAGGGCTCTTGAGCAGCTGCTTGTCCGAGTCCTCGACGGTGATGCGCAGAGTGCAGCCCCCCGGCAGCAGGTCCTGCTCGTAGGCAGCTGCCAGCTGGTTCACCACCCGGCGCTCGACCTGCAGGTGGCGGCAGGTGAAATGCTCCTCACTGCCTTGGCCCGGGCCCAGCCGTGGTCCCAGTCTTGGGCAAGTCAGAGACCTTCTCTAAGCCTTGGTTTTCTTACCTGCAACATGGGGCTCACACCACCTAGCTGGCAGACTGTGCTGAAGGGGCACTGAGGGCAGTTTCTGAGGCTCCCAACCCAGCCTCCCACTCCTGGCAAGGCTCATATTCTCCTTCCCTCCAGACAGGGTTTTACATGACCATCTGTGTTTTGGCTCTGAAGGGGCAGCTGCTGTGTGGGGACAATCTCAGCAGTTAAACTCTAGGACAACCCAGGGGTGGGTCTGGGGGCACCGGGAAGGACTGTGTGGGGTGCCTTGCTTCTCACAGGCCCTGTGCTCACCTCATGCTTGATGGAGCGGGCGCCGTAGTGCACGTTGTAGCCATCGACCAACACGTCCGCCACCTCGCGGTCCCAGAGCAGCGTGATGTTGTGCCTCTGCTTGGCCTGAGACGGGTCAGACAGAGTATGCCTGTGTGTGGCCCGGGGCTTCCCATCTCTCACCCTTCTGGCCTGAGGCCTGGCTCTGAGAGACGGGGTGCTGGCCCTACACCACTGTGCTGCACCTTATGGGGGAGGAGGTACTCCAACCCTGGTGTTTCAGATGTTCA